AGCGTTAGATTGTGCGTGTTGGATCTTGCACAATATAAACAAGATAACAGATCTCTCCCTTGGTGAACTCGAGTGAGTCAGTCGAATGGTCAACCCTGCTATTTGGAACAGCCTGCGAGGTCCGGTGGTAACCTGGAACGGTAATGGGAGACCCTCGTGGATCAACGGAACAATCCAGTAAGGCTAAGAAAGGTTCCTGGAACAAAGAAAGACAAGTTAGAAGGGCGCCAGAGTGTTTTTCGGCGTATCCCCTCCAACGATCAAGTCAGTTTTTGAGAGAGAGGAAAAAGAAAACACTGAATATGTATTGTAGCAAAGGTTTTTTGTTGCCCCCCACCTTACCTTTTGCGAGGAGTATTTATACCTCAAATACTCATGATTTCTGTCAGTGTGGTCAGTAGGTGATCATTAGGTGATCATTAAATACAGGCAACGTGCGCACTGATTCCTACGAGGAATATCTTCTCTTTTAACTGCTCGGAATCCCGAGCAACCAATGTTGTGTCATCGGGCTGCCGACTGTTCAATGAGCTCCTCTCAGGGATGATGCAATAAATGTCCAGCCTTAGAGACATTTATTGTCTTTCACTTCCGAGCCTTACCGCATTGAATGCAGTCTCATCAAGGGAATGATGCAATTAAATGCTTGTTTTCCCAAGTCGTGTGTCAGCAAGGGCATGAGGTCTTTCTGTCTCTGATGTGACACAATATGACACGCATTCATTCCCCATTGGCTGTGGCCCCTGCCTTCCTGTGCCTTCTGACACAAATTGTGTAAGACGAGGTCATGATAGCTAACCTAGTCTAGCCTAGGCTAGTGACCTGTACATCAGTAGCTCTGTAGGAGAAGAGAATGTCATCCTGGACGTTGGTACATATCGGCACCGAGGGGGGTTGGTACATCTCAGAGCCGAAAGGGGAGGTGCATATAGCGACCGATATACCATATCAGACCGAGGGATACATGTCGGTACGTAAACGTACTGGATGTCACTTGATCCCTATGACAAGTATCTCGGGGGAGAGGGACTTGTAAACCGATGGGTACGTGATCTCAGTAACAAGGATTAGTGACACCGATGACACGTGTCTTCATCTTAGAGTATTTCGGAAATGTCCCATCAATAATAATTGAAATTTATAGTTAGTATCGACCTACATCTCCGGCAAGCAGTTCTCTCTTTTCCCCGGGCGTGATGCGATTTAATGATTCTCTTATCTTCCGTTTGGTACGATAAAAAAGCGGGAGGATGGAAAGTTGGAGGAATAAATAAAACATCATGTTTGGTAAGAAAGGAAAGTAACAAGGATGGAAAAGTAGATGGATTAAATTTTCTTCCAACTCACCAAAATCAATCCCTCCAAAATCGGAAGGAAAATGGATAAAAAATTAATTATTTGTGTTGAGATGTATCTTATTTATCTATATATCTTATGTATATATTAATTTCATATAAAAATACAATGGTAAATATATGTATATATATTTTAAAAAATTTTAAAAATTAATTTTAACAAAAATTTAAAATTTTAAAAAAAAATTAAAATTTAAAATTTTAAAAAATATATTTTTTTTTCATCTTAATTAAGGGTAAAAATTTTCGACTCAACACGATGACATGACTCGAAGTCGATATGAAAATAAATAAGTCAACTCGACAGGACACAATTAGTTAAATGAGTTAGGTTAGGTTTGACTAATATTCAACACAAACTCGTAATGACTTAACACAAATCTAACACGACACGACTTGACTCTATTGTCACCCCTAATTTTAGTTAGCACAAAAAAAAATAGTCATTTTTATTTTTCATTCATCCAACTAGACACAAAGGAAGGAAAATGTATCATTCTTACTTTCCATCCTTAAAGGATAGAAAATGTATCCCTCCTATTTTTCATCATTCCTACTTTCTATCCTCCCTACCAAACGGAACATTAATTAACACATGTACTTTTTACTCCAAACACAAAAAAGAAAAAAAATGGACATTCACAAAAATAATAGGATAAATTGCAACGTCAGTCTCTAAGATTTGTCATTTGCATTTTTGTCCTTAAAGTTCTAATTTCATCAATTTCACCTCCATATTAATACGTTGACTTACTTTAGTCCTTACCCTGAAGTTTCAACCAAGATAGAAAATCAGCACATGTTAGGCACATGACTGTTGTTTAAGGATAATTGTGTATCCAGCGCACACCTATATCCAAACACAATCACACTCTCTCCCCCTGTTCTTTTTCTTTCTACACAACACCCACAACATTCAGCTCCTCTCTCTTTCTCTCTCTAAACAAGACAAAAACCTGTCGTTAGGAGGGTGGAGACCGCTGGTGGTCGTGGGCGCCATACACACTACTTTTTCCCCACATTTCTTCTTTTTTTCTCCCTCTTTGCACACAAAAATCACATGTTTCTCTCTCTTCCTATGCACTGTACACACTACAATACCGAATCTATTACCAATCTATCCCATTTATCAAATTTATTTATCAATTTACTGTCATTTTCAACTTATTTATCAAACTATCGCTGTTTTAATTGCGGATTTGACAAATTCGACTTCATGGGGAAAGCGAATTTAAAAAATCCGACTTCATTTGAAAAACAGATTTGACAAATCCGATTTTATAAAGAAAGCGAATTTGACAAATCCGACTTTATAAGGAAAGTGAACATATCAAATCTGACTTCATTTAGAAAGCAGACATTCCAAATCCATTTTTTATCTCAACTAGTAACTTTTAATATTTCATCTAATTTTTTTACTGGGATACCACCCAAAATTCTTGACTTTATATATTTTTTCCCTAAAAATAAATCACTCATTTTTATCATATATTTAATTATTTAATATTTGATTAATTTGTAATTAATATATTTTAAAAAAATTTAATATAGTGGGATCGATTTTTTAGATGCTCGAATTTTATATTTTATCTTGCCTTCAGACACGAGTTATAACTAATAAATTTAGATAGAATCTATAAGTGGATTTTTAACGACAAATAAAGGTGAGTAATTTATTCACAAAGAATATAGAATCAGAAAGATCAAACGTATTCAATAAATAGTCAAATACTCTTTTGACGATCAACACAATTCTACATATAAAGACTTGCACCTTGGTAAGTCTGCTTTTCATATAAAGGCAGATTTGGTATGTCTGCTTTCCATATAAAGATGGATTTGATATGTCTGTTTTTCCTATCAAGGCGGATTTACCAAATATACTTTTCAATTGAAGTCGGATTTGTCAAATCCGCTTTCCAAATGAAATCGGATTTGCCAAATCCACTTTCCTCATGAAGTCGGATTTGCTAAATTTGTTTTTAAAACAGCGATAGTTTGATAAATAAGTTAAAAATGACAATAGATTAATAAATAAGTTTGATAAATTGAGTATATTGGTAATAGATCGGTACACCACCCTCAAGGAAACTATCCAACTTATTACCAGCAAAATTCACACACACTTCACACGAGACCCAACAACGCCGACAAAGGCCATACATCGGCAGCCACACCCCTTCCCAACGAGACCCAACAACACCAACAACCTCCCTTCCTTTCCATAAACCCATCTCCAGAATTGGAGTGGAGATGGAATAAAATTGTGGGTGTTGTGTGTTCAGTGCATAGGAATAAAATTGGACAGAGAGAGAGAAAAACAGAATGGTTATGTTTTGAAAGTAGAGGCAAACTGGAAGAGTTACGAAATCGACGCAGTAACAATAGAGGAGAGAGGAGAAAGGGAGATGCATTGGGTTTAGGGGTGAAGACGCAGTAACGAGAGAGCAGAGAGGGAGATGCGTTAGGTATGGGGGTAGAAACACAGTAACGAGAGAGGAGAGAGAAGAGAAGGAGATGTGTTGGATTTGGGGGCAGAGACATAGTAACAAGCGAGAGAGAGAGAGAGAGATTCTACGTGAGAGGCAACGAGAATGATTTGAGTGTGTGAGGGAGAGAGGAGAAAAAAAAAAAGGAAGAAGAAGGTGGATGTTTGAGTTCAAAGATAATTGTATTTGGATGCATAAATATTTGTAAAATATTAAAAATATCCCTTAATACTCTTGGGGCCTGTTTAGTATTTTTTTGAGAGAAATTTAAATTGACTTGTGTAAACTCGAATTTGACCAAAGATAAAATTCAAATAAGAGATTCAATATTTAATGTTATTCATACTATAATATGCCCTAAAATATATGACTATTATAATAATATATTTATATTTAAATAATTATTATGTCCCTTAATTAATTTAATTCAAATATGGGTACGAATGTATGAGAGATATAAATGTCATTTGAATATAAAACCTCCAAACTCACATATGAAATACCCTCATGGGTTTCATAAAACCCATGAACAAGAGTTTCATAACCGAGTCATGATCGAGTCAGATTTGAAATTCTAGGTTAAATCAATAGTTATCAAACATGAGTTTAAGAGAGTTTAATCTCCAACCCATGTTTCAAAATCACCCCAAATCCACACACCAAATAACCCCTTATGTGTCAAACACAAGACATTTTTCATTTATTATTTGAATGACAGTTATAAATAAAGACCTAAGCAAGTTAATGTATTAATATTGAATGACAAAATTGACAAAATTAAAATTTTAAGTACCAAAGTACCAACACCCTACAAACCCCAGGGTTCATTGGTAAAATTTACCCAAAATAATGAGTGACCTTCAAATTGAATCTACTATACTTTTACTTAATTTTATAAATTACTCACCATATATAAGTGACGAATTCACTTATAAAGAATAGTTTTCATTTAAATTTATGATAAGTTATTTACCCTTGCCTTAACGTGAAACCAAGTTCAAATATAATAGACGAGATTAATCCATAATAATTGGGTGTCCACCTTACCCAGAAAAAAAAATAGTTAGGTGTCCACCATGCCACAGGTTGTGATTGAAATTCACATGTAATTTTCTTACCATGAAACAACCAAAAAGTCCGAAAAATAACAAAACAACACCGTAAAGAAAAGAGCAAAAAATAAAAAAAGACACAATAGATCTACTTAACATTTGACACAATAGATCTCCTTAACATTTGACAAGAACAAACTTCGACCCGTGAGGCAACCAACTAGGCTTGTACACCTTTGATTTCTCGAATAACACCTACAACATTAATTAATTTGCACGTGTCGCCCACAAAACATAACAAAAAGAATTTGTATGCGAAGCAAAGTGCAATGCTCGCAAAATCCTTGTTGAAAACTCAATTGACCCACCTAGGCAAAGAGCGCAAGTGGTATGCGAGAACCAAAGCACAAAGGGTAAGTTGTTCTGGCACTAATTTGGACACCGATGATTCCAAGTTTCTCCTTCCCTCCAGTTAAAAAGCCGAAAACAATGTAGAGACTACACAACAATTGTGATGATAAACACACGTTTCAACAATTGTTTCGATATATAAACCTAATTTTCCTTTACAAAAAGGAAAAAAAATGAACTTTGAGGTTATAGATTTAATCACTCACAATTGTGAAGCAAGCCAAAGCATTTTGAGCCAACTAATGTGCTCTGGATCTTCCATTGAACCGAAGAATGAACATTATCAAACCCTCAAGGCAACCGGGTCTTGCCATGAAATCTTCCCTTTCCTGACACGAGCCGAACCATCCTCAATGTTCCTACACGCAGATAGCTTCAAATCATTGAGATGCTCGTCGCCTCTGCTCGAATCATTCATAGGCTCCTCAATTCTAGACAGCTCAGAATTATTCTGAAAATCCTCTTCTTCTCCCTAGAAGATCAAGTTACATCCAAAACAATTAAACAGAGAAAGTAACAACATTTGGAATTCATAATTAGATGTGGTTCCAAGTGCTTACTGATATCTGGTTTAAGTCAAAAATCGGAGCTCTCCCTAATTCCTTTCCACCGATACTACTTTCCTTCTGATTTAAATTGAATATCGGAGGAGCTGGATTCCATGGAGCAGCATCATTTCCACCATTTATTCTTCCCTTCTGGTTCAAATTATTGACTACCATTGGGGTCTGAAGGACACCCTTTGCTCTATATACACTTCTCATGTGTTCTAAATCTGAAGGCGGAGTTAAATGGTGGAGAAAAGGTTCCTTTCCACTTCGCAATATTAGCTTGTCACTGAAGTCAAGACTCGGAGTTGCATTTCGAAGAGCAGCTTCTATTCCATCATGTGAGCTTTGCACATGGCTTGCTTCGAAAGTTGTAGCAACATTTCGGAGAGAAGCTTGCTTTCCAGCATACATTCTTCCCTTTTGTTTATGATTAAAAATCAGGGGCAACTTGCACAGTGCAGCCTCCTTTTTGCTGTGAATACCATTCATCACAATGCTTTTGATTTGGTTTTCAGTATTTTGTTGTTGCATACGTTTTTGTTCTTGAGGAGGATTGGGAGACTTATTTTTCAATAGGTGTTTGTATCTTTGCCGCAAGAATCTGTAGTTCAAATAAAAGAGAAAAGAATGGAAAGTCAGAGCATGAATATATTACTATCCACCAGATATTTGGAGAACATTATACAAAGAAAATGGGATATCTTTACTTTCATAATGATTTTTTGATAGCAAGAAATAAGAAAAAGTCGGAGATTTTTTGATTGCAAAGTCAACAAACAGGTAGAAATTATTGAAGATAAAAAATTACTTTTGAGATTCAGGTAAACGAACAAACAAATAGACCAAGGAAATGAATTGAAAGCATACAAATAAACACATTTGAGTCATTTTGTCAAAATACATGAATATCTCAACAAAGAAATTCAAATATAAAGCCATAGATAGTTCGTCAAAAGTGATACGTGCAAATCCTCAACCTACAAGTTAAAGTATCTTACCGAACTTCTGCTAATAAGGCCAGTTTCCTGAGTTTCATGGTCTCCAATTTGTTTCTCATGGCATCTGATTCCTGTAAGAGTCAGGAGAACTGAATGAAAAATCCAAAAAATATTATGCAGAAGAGGTTTCACATTAAAGCTAAAAACTAACAGATCAAATTACAACAATTCAATTCAAGGGCTAAAAAACCAGGGGAAGTATTTAAAACAAAAAACTTAGTATATATATGATCGCTTAAAAAACATAGGGGGCTGGAAAAAAAATAACTAATTCCCCCAAAACCTCCTTACCCACCAACCCACAAAATCCATATATTTGATAAAACCATATAACAAGAGCAGTAAGAGAGAACAAGAACTCACAACTATGTAGAAGGAACAGTTGAACAACAAAAGGAGAGGCAACACAATGAAAAACACATGAAAGAAGCCAAGAAGGATATATAGATAATTCTGGAAACTATATTCACATAGATCAAAGGGGGAAAATATTTTATAAGAATAAATCTAACATGATATTTTCTGAAATAAAAACATCGACTAAAAAGAGATTTGTTTGCCAATTGAACAAGAGTAGCCAAAAGGTTGAACTTCCAATAAATCTCACATGAATTCAAATTGACAAACTATGGATCTGAAGTAATCCAAAACAGAAGAAAACAGATCAAACACAAGAAAAACTTTACCAATCAACAGGAGAATCCTAAATGGTACATCTATCAAGAAACCCAGATGACAGAGTAAAAGACAACAAGAAACTAATCCCTCAAAACTAAAACAAAATAGATCAAAATCATCAGAATATATTAGACCACCAGAGTACTAAACACAAGGAGACCATAAGGAAGGCAATCAGATAACCCTTGACAAAGTCCAGAAACATATCTCAAATAACCCTCAGATCTTCAAAATAAGGAAATACAAAACCACAAAAGAAATTACCTTCTGCAGCTCTTGGTAATCTTGCATAAGAGCCTGATGCTTGAACCTGGTTTTAGCACCCTCATACGGACCATAAGATGATGAATCCAACGCAAACCCTTGCATCCTCTTAGCCATCAGATCACAACAAATACAGACAACCCACCACACAAAAATGAATGATCTTGAAAATGATCAAGAGATAAATGTGAAGTAGACAGAGAGAGAGACAGACAAATATGATGAGAGATAAAAAGAGGGGCAGGGAAGAATAATAAAGGAAGAAAGGGTAGAGAAGAGAAAGAGAGAGAGAGAGAGGAGGTGGGAAGGTTCTCGCTTTCCTGTTTTCTCTGTGAAACTCTGACCAAGACAAAGCCCAAAAAGCCCACATAAATCGGGAAAAAATACATTGTTCTTTTGAGACAGTGAGAAGTGATGAAGATTGGGGATTTTTGGGGGGTTGCAGAAGGGTATTTGTGGGAACATAGTTTTTGGTTGTGTATGAGGTGGGTTTGGTTGGAGGACATTTGAAGACATCTTCTCTCTTTCCTTCTTCTCTGTCTCTCTCTTCCCTTTCTTTTTTGTTTTTCTCTTACATAAATTTTGGTCCAGCTGGGCCATTAGAGTTGAAGGGGAGAGAAAGAGAGAGAGAGGGACAGAGTTGGGCGGTGTGGACTCTTCCCTGTTTTGATGGGCGAGGGTGCGTGGAGTTTCTATATGTTTCTTCTCGCTTCTTTCTTTCCTTGTCTGTCTTTGTTGTGGGTATTTGATGTGCCTATGCTGATGATAGGAGTAGGATACTGATATGGAGAGAGAGAGACGACACAGAGCTTTTAGAGAGAGAAAAGGTTGAAATGGGAAGGTGCTGAAAAAGCAGTTGAGAGATAAATGAGGATGCTGTTTTCTGATGTATTTGCAGTTTGCTAGTACCTTGTTTTGTTGGCTTTGGTTTTGTGATGGCTGTCCTGATTGTGATGCCCTAAAAAATATTAGGCAAAGCCCGAGTATTGAAATTACATTATTACCCTTCTTGCCACTTCCCTGTTATGGATACCAAATCTTTTTCTGATCCCCCTCTACAGTACATAATGCATTTAGTCTGCAACCGGTAACCATGATTATGAAAGATTTGATTCCTCATTTAATATTTTTTTTTTAACAATGGCATTTATTAGTCTACTTTTATGGGTAATTTGGTCATTTCACAGTTGCATAATCCATTCCGCACCAAACTTCTGGAATCGTAGGACAACATACTCACCTACCTAGCACCTACATCTGATGCCCATTCTAAGGGTTTGTTTGGTAAATTATTTGGGAGAAATTTGGATTGACTTGTTCAAATTCAAGTTTAATTTAAATATGAGATTCAATATTTTATATTATTCATATTCATGTTTAGTATACGCAAAAATATATGATTATTATGATAATATATTTATATATAAATAATTATTATGTCCTTTAACTAATTTAATCCAAACATGAATATAGATATATGAGAGATATAAATGTCATTTGAATGTAAAACCCCCAAACTCACATATGAAACTCATCCCCTCCATAGGTTTCATGACTGGGCAATGAGCGGATCAGATTTCAAAACCTAGGTTAGATGGATGGTTACCAAACATGAGTTTGAGGAGGTTTAGTCCTCAACGCATGCTTCAAAACCTCCCCAAACCCACGTACCAAACAGCCCTAAGGGCTGAAATATTTGAGGGAAGGAGGTTGAAGTTCTGCCAGCTCCCATCAGTGATAACACAGTCATATGTGTTTAAAAAATCCAAAAAAAAAATCCAAATTACCATGCCCATCCATGAAAAGGGTAGGGCCATATTGCTAAAATTTAGCCTGAAAAAGTATATAAAGGTCACTTATTAGATAAAATATATATACGTGCGTTTGTGAATATAAATAATGTTGTAATACTCTAAACTATATCAAAAAATAAGTTTAGACTATAGATATTGATTTGAGTTATTCAGGATTGTAAATCATGTGATTAAATAAAAGAATGAGATGGCAATTTAGTGTATATAAACATATAGTCAGCCCAACAACACCATGGCCGAAAAATCTAAAAATTTCTAGCTTAATGCAGGGGTTGAGACTTGAGAGCTTTAGTGGGTATATCTAAGGAAGTTGAGAATGCAAAGGAAAAGTTGGGGCTTGTTGGGTTTCTTGAAGTTTGGTTTCCTTCTGTAACTATTTGTCGGTCACAAAGTCCTTGCATTTCATTAATCCAAAATTTTCGTGGGAGAGAGATATTGTAGAGAGAAAAAGAGGTTGGCTTGACTTGATGAAGAGTGAGTGCGAGTGTGTGTGTGAGGGAGAGAGAGAAAGAGAGAGATTCTCTTGCCTTTTTTTTCTTCGTTTTTCCCATTACACACTTATTAAATGTTTGCACAGATGTGGCTGGTGACATGGACGAGAGAGAGAGAGGAGAGGAGTTCTTGTTATTCTTTGGCCGAGTTAGTACTGGTCCCGAGAGAGAGAGAGAGAGAGTTTTTGTTATTCTTTGGCCAAGTACTAGTATAAGGACCAAAGGTTTTCTACAGGGTGACAGAAAATCAAAGAAGATATTAGGCGTAGGGGTAGGGCTAGGGGTGGGGGTGGGGGTGGGGT